GGGATGGGGAGGGGGGGGGAGGGTTGGCTGGACTCTGATGGAACGTCACTTTCATACCGGGTCAAGACACCGAGTCTAGTGACGCACTGAAACAAGACACTCTCCAACCCAGTGGTGTAGACTTTTCCATATTAATCATTTATAAAGTCATCCGTGATCGGATAGAATAGAGAGGGGGAGAGAATAAGGAGTAGGTAAAAAGTACGAACAACTCCTATCTCCATTCATTGGTTATGGTTGATATGTGTTCTAAATAAACTTCCCCGGGCGTTGTGAGTTGTGGAATATCGCTAAGGACGCGAATAAGGCCGGCCAGGGACGAAGTCGAGAAATCATGGATCAAGCGCGCAATTTGTAGGTCTACATTTACAAAGGCAAGCTACGGGCACAAAAGGGCACTAACAGTTCGGAATTTTGTCACAAGCATGGAAAGTGCTGCACTGTCGGCGATCCTACTTACTGTTGTAGTGAACTGTCTTTTCTGTTTATTTTTTTCTCTAATTTTATTATTGTTAAGCCAGAAATAAAACACGCTGTGCCTGTATTGGGTGTCGTCCGAATAGAGGGCGCCATGCCCCAAAACCCTGCAGCATATCAATAGCATAACGAAGACCTAGTTTCTTTCTTTCTGTTTTTTTCAAATCCCGCGTTGTAAGGCTATACAACGATATCAAGTTTCCAGGCAGATCAATACATGATGGGTGCAGACCACTAATTCAAGTGAGAATTACTGGCTAGTTCATTAGCATTAAAAGTGCCCCAACAGTATCTTTTGAAAAAGGAGATTGTTTGGCCCCAAAAAATGGTGAGATTGTGTAAATCGTGCTTCGCTCGTCGCCCAGCAGGGCGCTTGGAAGGGGCTGATGGCCTTGCACAGATATTAGTAAAGGAAATACGTCACACGGGTCACAGCTAATGACTCGCAGAGCATTGTGGGTAACTTTTTGCCAGGCGCGCGAGCTCGCTCAATGCGTTACAAAAGTGCCGTGGTTATCAATGCAGTATTTTTCTTTTTCTTTCTCATTACTGAAAATATTCTCTCTACGCTTTATTCGTTCATCCGAAATTGATCAAGATATCGATAACCAATAATGTGAAATATATCGCCAAAGACACGTGATAACCGATACTCAGTGAGAAGACAAATTACCACACTGTGATCGTACCATGTTTGTATGGCCGAAACTTTGCCCTTGTCAAAGCATTGCCATTGGCGAACCAAAAAATTTAAATAACGCGAACAGGAAACGCTAACCCTGCGGTCACAGGTACACAATGTAGCCAATCACGGTGCAAAGCCATCAGCCCTTCCCAGCGCCCTGTTCTGGGCAATAGCAAAGTCCAGTGCTTCCACGGCTACTTGTAAGGCTGCTTCCGAATTACTATGGCTTGAAATTATACACGACGTTATGGGAACTGCCTGTGTGGCCACCATAGACTCCCGCGTAATTTCAGGCCACTGCCCAGTAGTTCGGGTACAGCCTATGATTTCATGTCCGTAGGAAATTTGGAAATGACAGTTTTTAACAAAATCTTAAGAAAAACCTAAATTCTAAAGAAATTGACAATTTGTGTTCAAGTGAAAATCTTTGCCTATTTAGGGGTTACACCATGTGCTTTCCTATGGGAAAAAGAGGACTTTTATATTTCTTGAGAGGAGACTAGTCTTCAGGCCTCTTGTGAGCTTCCAATGTTGAAATGTTTACTCTATTGTTGATTTGACTCTTTTTGAAAAAAAATCCTCCAAAGCCACGATTTTCCAGCCTTTATTTGCGTCCAGTTTCCCCAGCCTGTTGTGTGTAAAAAAAAAAAAAAACTGCTGAAAGCAATAGTGGTAGAGGGCGCCATTCCATAAGAGACATGGATGGACTTCATGTCCAAAATCTGGACTCACAATGCCCTTCATCAGCATACTAAGGCTTCGATGGTAAACCAAGTTGGTTCGTTGCATCAATAGTTACAATGGCAAGCAAGCCAGATATTGCCTTTGTATTCAGCACGGTATACCGGTGGCTTCAATGCAGTCGGTACAAACGCATCACCAGTCCAGATTTTCTATGAGCTGTGCAAGAAACGAACCACAGATCACACTGGCAGATATCATATGGAAAAAATGGATTCGCAATGTCCTTTTTACCAGACAAAAACAATGGAAAATCGAGTCCGGGGCTACCTTTAAAAATGTATCCATGACGACTGAGTAAGTCGAGCGCGCTCAAAATTTATTGTCTGAAAATACTCTGTTCGGAGCCTGGTGGAATTAACTGGAACTACTTTTGACCATTGTTCGTGCCCGGCGGCGTAGCGATACTGGATATGGTGCCAGGGGAGAGTGTCATAAGTTTAGGCTAAATGATTCCAAACATAGGGGTTGTATCGCATGGTATACAGAATATTGGGAGAAATAGTACCGTCTGCGGATGTAACTCGCCGGATATGAACTCACTGTAGTGTGATATTACCTCGCCGTGCATGGCGAAGTAATGTGGCCCTTATACATGTACGCTTTGATGTGGCCCTTACAAACTTGAGTATATATGCTCATGTGATTTCAACAGTTCAAAATTTAAGTAATGTACATTACAAGTCTCCATTTTGCTTCGAGGCCAAATATCTGCCTTCGAACATAGAATTACAAAAGGATGTCAGTGGAATATATTCAGTTCTTGTTTGCCTTAGTAGCGCTTTGAATAGCTACTTATATTGTGTTCATGTGCCCTTCCAACTTTTCTGAACATAAACCCGGATCTGAACTTGTCTTGTCTTGGGAAGGAATTCTAAATAACTGAACAGCGGGAGATATAACAATGTGGGATTTCCCATTCGTCGAGGCCACGACCCGATCTCACTAAACGTATTTGTAAGAGAACTCGAGCAGCAGGGAGCCGTACCAGGCACAGTCTCCATGGCAACGTTTGACATTATCTTGAACCGATGAAGAACAAATATCAACAAGAACAAAATTTATACTCAAAGATCAAATTTTGAGTGGGGCTGTGTGACAGTTGCCAGGTGAACTTGACACCTTTCGTTTTTGCGGAATTTCTTTCGCTTTCGTCCCCGACTTCTTATTCAGTGTTGTAGCTGAGCGGAGGTCTTTTTCCTGCGTTACTTTTGCGGACGCCAATTCCCTCCCGAAGCCGCAATTTCTCTTCCCTGCGCGAACTTCTTTCGTTCTCACAAAATTGTCTTACCGGTCGTGAAACCGTAGGAATTCCAGCGTTACTTGCCTCGCTTTTTAAGGAAAGAAGTCGGCCCCTTCTACCGTCCAAGAAAGCAAGCGTCAGAGGTTCCTTACGTTATCAGCCTCGGACTCGACAAGTGATGAAAACCGTGGCGAAGCGCCTATCTGACCGTTCAACGTCGTCGACGGTACTGCTCGTGGCGATCGCCTGGCTAGCTGTTGGAGCCAGGAGCGCGACGGCAAGGGAAATCAGCCAGGCGAGACATCGACGAGACGACATCGGGGGAAGCGCTGTAACTACTGGACCGTCCTATGGTAATGTTTGCACCAACTTTTCTTGCTCTTTTTAGGAGGTGTTTTCTATGTTGAAATTGCTATGTAACTGCTGTTGTGTATTATAGGTCTTGCCAAGGCAGCGCTAACAGAAACCCACATTCTTTGTCTTTTGGTAAAACCAAAATAATGTTCTTGCATAGAATGTAAAAATCTGCATTTTGCAGAGAATAATGACGAGACAAAGCCACTCCCTCTTTATATCAAGTCGAATTTCACTTGCCTTGGGTCGATATACTGTAGATCTTGATTCGTATTGAGTGGAATTCGTTTTCTTTTCCAGAAAATTGTCTTTTGCTTTACTTATCTGCTTGTGTTTGTGTTCGCTGTTTGTCTGTTGCAATTCTTCTGTCTGCGATTACAGGTAACAGCAGTTGTGATTTCTAGGAAAGTTTGTGAAAATTAAAAGGCTCCTTGTTCTGGATGAATTTTTGAAAATACGAAGCAATTAAAAACTGAAAACAGTGTATTCTTGCAGGCGACAGCTAGACAGTTGCCAAAAACCCTTCCCAGCTGATTTTTTCCGAGGGAGCCGTTTTCCCCTCTGATTTCTTTTGAAGGTGGTAATGACCACGTGAGGCTGGTCAACGGCCCCAATGCCCACAGCGGCCGCGTTGAGGTCAAACTTCACGGCGTCTGGGGCACTGTGTGTGACGACTTGTGGGATATAAAGGAGGCGGAGGTCGTGTGTCGGTCCCTGGGTTTTCCCGGTGCTAGCTCAGCCTTGGTGAGCTATGGGTCTGGTACGGGCCCCATCCTCCTAGATGACTTGATGTGTACTGGCCAGGAGGAGAAATTGGAGGACTGTCCGCACGCGGGTGTGGGGAATCATAACTGCAGTCACTACGAAGATGCAGGCGTAGAGTGTTCGACTCAGGCCGGTAGGTAAAAAGATAGTCGGTGATTGGATGGATTCATCAGCTGGGTTGGGCTGAGGTGGGTTGGGGTGAATTGAGTTGGGTTGGGCTTGGTTGCTTTGAGTTGGGTTTGGTTGGACTGGGTTGGGCTGGGTTGGGCTAAGCTGGTTTGGGTTGGGTTGGGTTGAGTTGGTTTGGGTTGAGTTGGGTTGGGATGGGTTAGGTCGAAGCTCGATAAGAAAGATGTTATGTTTAGGTCAAAATGACCTAGGTCATAACTTTTGCCTTTTGTGTGGATTGCAACGACTCCCATACAGTTGATTTAATAATTAAGTGCAAGTCGTCTTTTTAGGAGATTATTACAAAGAGACCTTTCTTTACACCATGCAGCTTGTGTGATACAATCCAAATCAGACCTGAACATGGCCCATTGTTTACGCCAACATTCCCTCTTGTGATTGAGATTATAATTTTTTTATTACGAAACGTGGACTTTTCAGATACGACGGTTGACGTGCGCCTTGAGGGAGGAGAAACGGACTTTGAGGGCCGCTTGGAGATCCGTTTCAACGGTGGGGAGTGGGGCACGGTGTGCGATGACAGCTGGGGACTGGAGGAAGCCCAAGTAGCCTGTCGCATGCTGGGCTTCCCTGGGGCCGTGGCAGCCCGGTCAGGGGCCTGCTATGGCCAGGGCAGTGGCGACATCTTCCTGGACGACGTCGACTGCGACGGTTCCGAAGAGTCCCTGCTGGACTGCACTTTCACGGATCGCTTCAACCACAATTGCCAACATTCGGAGGACGCCGGCGTGGTGTGCCAACCCGCAGGTAAGAGTTGACTTTATGGAAGGGTGGAATTAGAGATCCAAGAATGAATGGCCAAAACATTGTGACAGAAACGCATGGCATTGTCAAGGGCGTCAGCGGTGATACAGTGTCTACGTGGTGAAGTCATAACGTCTTGGTTGAGCCAGATTTCAACCCTTAAAACAAAATGAGAAACGAACAAGCTGAGGTTTTGATTTTAATCTTGTACGTGGTTTGTTTTGTTTTTCGCTAGTTCGTCTTGCTGGCGGGGACGTGCCGAACGCGGGCCGAGTGGAGCTGTATCATCTGGGTGCCTGGGGTACGGTCTGCGATGACTATTGGGACATCGACGACGCCGAAGTCGTCTGCCGTCAGCTGGGCTTCTACGGAGCATTGGCTTCCTTGGGCAGTGCGCGCTTCGGCCCGGGATCCGGGGACATTCTGCTAGATAACCTGGGATGTCTCGGGTGGGAGAGCGACCTGTTCGAGTGTCCTCACTTGGGGGTGGGGAATCACGACTGTTATCATGGGGAGGATGCGGGTGTCGTCTGCAATGTGAACGGTATGATATGACAGGAATACATGAATAAACCCTATCGAATGAGTCCTCTTCAGCAATGTCGTCATCCCAAGTTAGGCAGTATTTCGTTTATTGAAACTAAGCATAAATGTGGATATTTAGGGCGCTATTTAGTTTGAGTAAACCCACTGAAACTAGCGCCCTCCTCTCGTGTCCGCGATGCTTCTGAATGGCTTATAGGAGGGATAATAATGTAACCTTCCAATGTTTACTCCAACAGTGCGTCTTGTGGGCGGGTCATCCAGCCACGAAGGCAGGGTGGAGATCTACAGCGGCGGCAGGTGGGGCACTGTGTGCGACGACGGCTGGTCCCTGAGCGACGCTGCCGTGGTCTGCCGTCAGCTGGGCCTAGGAGACGCCCTGGAGGCAACACTGAATGCCCGCTTCGGTCCCGGCACCGGGGACATCTTACTGGACGACGTGGGCTGCACTGGGAACGAGGACACGCTGATAGACTGCAGCCATCCTCCGATTGGGACCCACAACTGCGGACATTCCGAGGACGCTGGCGTCATATGCCAGGAAGATGGTATGCGATAATATAGTCGGAATGCTTTAGTTCCAGGCCATCTCAATCAACGCAACGCAAGTAACGATGCCCTCCAAGTCTTCTGAGTCCAGTGTTGTATTCGAGTCCGTCACAAGTCCTTTCACAAGTCCTTTTACAAGGCCAGTCTTAGGCATAAAGGTGAACAATGGCAAAAGAATTACAGCTCATTTGAATGGCTCGTGAATTAGCTTAAGACTGAATGACTTGTAACGGACTTGTGATGGACTCGAATACAGGCTCAAATTGTGAGTCACAATTCAATTCAAGACTAGGCACTGTTCCTTATCAAATAGTGGACTGCAACACCGATGTTTTTAGTCCAAGGCAAAAGCCGTACACGCCAGTTCAACCATACATGTACAATTTGCAACACTTATGTTGTCGCGAACCCGGATTGGTAACAATAAGTTTGTTTTCATAAATTGAAATGATTGTTTAATTAATGATTCAAAAGGTAAGTTGCAAGGTAAATGTGAAATATGACGGATCGCTTCTGTTTGAATCATATCATGTCTTCAGCTTCGATTCGTCTGAGTGGAGGAGACAACAACCGCGAGGGGCGTGTGGAGATCTCAATCCATGGAGTGTGGGGCACCGTCTGCGATGACCTCTGGGACCTGAACGACGCCACGGTGGTGTGCCGCCAGCTGGGCTTCACCGGGGCCGAGTCGGCACCCACGGGCGCCCGCTTCGGCCGGGGGGAGGATCCGGTGTACCTAGATGACGTGCAGTGCACGGGCAGCGAGGCCACACTGATTTCTTGCACCCACGCTGGTATCGGGGAGCACAATTGTGACCACGGGGATGATGCTGGAGTGGTTTGTAGCTCGTCAGGTAGGCGGACTTTGTCGTTTTAAGTACATTATCCTAGTAACAGCGTGACCAGCAATGGTATTATAATTTATTATTTATGAGCCCCAAGCAGGACCAGCAGAGGGCGCAGCTTGTTTTCGCATCTTCACGAACAGCTCGAGATCTTGTTCACGGGTAGGCCGCTCGAACGCCAGGCACATACAACCGGTTATCGCTCGTACTTAGTGGCAAGCAGCATGGGGCATCCACATACGTTCTTCGATGGTTAATGTTTTGATAACGAGATAAATTCTTTTCTTTTTATAAAGGAACAATCATTTATGATGTTGTGGAACATTGGTAATGCTAATTTTGCATAACTTCTTATTGTCTGCTGCTTTGTAAGCCATTTTACTTTGTTTTGCGGTTGTTCAAAAATCAAAATCTCACGAGTTTTTGTGTGTGTTCCTGTAAAACCCTGACGAGGAGGTGGTGTGTGATCCTGTTCCGAGAACAGCGTTCTCGAGTCGTGTTCTCACCGTTCAAGCGCGAGAACAAGAAACCGCGTGTCAAGAACAGGCCTCCAGAACTCGACCTTAGAGTCTCTTTTGGTCGGAACTGCATTTCGCTGCTTCACAAACGACTGTGAAATGCATGCACGCGTTAAGGTCGCGTCGCTACAGCAACCTGAACACTCCCATCCAACATGGCTCTTTTCAACCGATGAGGGGTACTTCTGCTCAAGGCGGATAATATACTGTAGTGCATTATGTGTATGCTCTGCTACATACCTTGGTTTCTAATATACATTGTAGTACCATCACTAGCGTTGCTTCTATCCGCCTTTGAGCGGAAGCACCCCCTCATCGGTTGAAAAGAGCCATGTTGGTCGGAAGTGTTCATTTTGCTACGACGAGACCATTAACGCGTGCATGCATTTCATAGTCGTTTGTGAACCAGCGAAGTGTAGGTCCGACCATTGATCTCCATTATAGATGGAGATCAGTGGGTCCGACCAAAGGAGCCTCAGTTTCTAGGAAAAGTGCGCCCTCTCTTCATCTTAAAGTAGAAGTAAAACCAGTCGCTGCTGCAGCAAAAAAAGGTTACAAAATATTTTCGATATCTGCAAAACTTTCAGATATTACACTGAGGGAATAACCCATAAATCAATCTCTGTTTCTTGCCAAATAAACTGCAGAATTTCAGATTTCAAAGATCAGAAATTTATTATCTTTTAGGGGCCCAAATAATGAAGTTTAAAGAGCACTGGATTTGTTTCTTTGGTTCGGTTTGTAGGATGATTTAATAACAGCAATTTCATTTGTTGAATACCAGTGCAGTGATGTGTGTATTTTTGGCATGATTCTTAAAAAGTAGGGGCATTTTCACTGAGCGTGATTTCACGTGCTTGAACACTTTACAATATACAGATTCTCTCCGTCTCGTCGATGGGTCTACCCGAAACGAAGGCCGGCTGGAAATCTACCTCGGCGGCCGCTGGGGCACGGTGTGCGATGACTGGTGGGGGTTGCAGGACGCCACCGTGGCGTGCAAGCAGTTAGGTTTCCCGGACGCCCTGACGCCAACGGCTGGCGGCTCATTTGGCAGTGGCACGGGGCCAATTCTGCTGAGCAATGTGGACTGCGTGGGCTACGAGAGTTCCCTGGTCAACTGCCAGCACACCGCAGCTGGCCACATTCACTGTGATCACGATGAGGATGCAGGGGTGGTGTGCTCACCGTCTAGTAAGAAATTTCTCAGCAATGATATGTAAACACACACAAATCAATTTGTGCACTCGATCCAATTATACCCATCGGTGTCTAAAAACGAAGTTTTTCATGCAAAAAGCCTGCTCAAAAAACTTATTATGGGCCTCGAGCTTGACCAAGAGAGGGCGCTATTTTCTAAGCAACGGAGGCTCCTTTGGTCGGAACATTAACCACAGACCTGGAGGCGCTTGTTCAAGAACGATTAGGAAATGCACACGTTAAGTTACAGTTGCGTTGCAACCAACAAATTAAACATTCCTGACCAAAACTGCTCTTTTTCAACCGATGAGGAGGTGCTTCAGCTCCAGGCAGACAGGAACCTGAATAGTATAACATCACCAGCATCTAATTTGTCATAGGCACAGGAGAAAGGACGTGAGCTGGTTGGCTTAGTGTTGTTGATATAAACGAGAAGGGTAGATGATGTTCTTGGTTCGAACCCTCCCAAAGGGTTCTTATTTTCTTTCTTTCTGTTATTTTTCTCGTCTTTTTCTCGTTGCAAAAGACTAGGTTTGAAATTTGTATAAAACAGAAAAAACAGTCCCTTCAACATGTTATATATGAGCTTGAGTCTGACCTATTTCTAAACATGGCACTTAAATCAGGCCTAGCCTTCCATGACGTGCCCTTGAAATTGCATTTTGCATTAAATGTCTCATTTATTTTAATTGGATCGGATGCTTCGATGGCATAAACAACAAACAAACAAGAAAATATAAGCCAAAGCAGTTTGTCAGCTATGTTTGCTTATGTTAGGTATGGGGAATTACTTTACTTGCTTCGTGAGGATTTCTTTTATTCTCTTTTCTAAATCAAACCAACAACACATCCAATCACTGAAAAAGGAAGTTTCTTTCCTCCATAATGTATGTCTTGAATTTGATAGTGCGTTTCACTAAGCGTTACATCAAACAAACACGAGAATGAATTGTTTGGTACATGCCATATTTTGCCACGTAGTTCGTCTGGTGGGAGGTACGGACTCTAATGAAGGACGCGTGGAGGTGTTCTCCAACGGCCGCTGGGGAACAGTGTGTGATGACGGCTGGGATCTGAACGACGCCACCGTGATCTGCCGGGAACTGGGCTTTCAGGATGCCATCGAGGCCGTGTCGTATGCCGCCTTCGGCCAGGGGACCGGGCTGGACATCTTGCTGGACGATGTGGCCTGTCTGGGTGACGAGGAGAGCGTGCTTAGGTGTCAACATAGCGGGCTGGGAAACCATAACTGTGGGCATTACGAGGACGCTGGGGTACGCTGCAGTATTGCGAGTGAGTACAGAAAGTCTTCGGGTATTTTGTGGTTAGCTGCGTGTGGGGAAATAAACTTGTAAATGAATATTGAAAGTAGACTTTCAGGGTCAAACAAACATCCTGCTTGCTGAGAGGTTGAAGGAAGTTTTCATGTCTTAAGGCAGATTTTGCCCTGTCAGGCTGATGAGGTAGTTCGCTTGATTGACACGATGGAATATATATCCTCCAGTATCTTTACCTTTTTCCCTGAATTATGCATAAGGAGCAAACATCTCGGCTTTTGGACCGCCTGTTAGCATTTTCGTCACGACAAGTTTTTTTGTATTGTATTTTATATATTAAAATATTTCAGTATTTCAAGAAGCAATTTATGAAGTAACCTTGGTCTAATTCTGACAAACAATTTGACCATTGACCTTATCAGATACCATGTAACTAAGCTTGTCTTAGAAAATGATCCGATGATTTGACAATGTTTGGAGAACATAGGTCAAACGATGAAGGAGTTGTCCATTGTTTTCCTGTAGTTCGATTGGTCGGTGGTTCGACACCAAGTGAAGGCCGCTTGGAGGTCTTTGCTAATGGGTACTGGGGGACGGTGTGCGATGACGGGTGGGGGCTGACCGATGCCCAGGTGGTCTGTCGTGAGCTTGGGTTCAGCAGCGCCCAGGAGGCTACCACGTCGGCCCGTTTCGGCCAGGGCACGGGAGAGATCCTCCTGGACGGTGTGAGCTGCACCGGGAGCGAGGACCGCTTGACAGATTGCACGCATCAGGGCATCGGCGTAAACGACTGCAACCACGGGGAAGATGCTGGCGTGGTGTGTGGTGGCGTCGCAGGTAGGTGGTCCACCGATCTATCAACCAACCTTAGTTTGTTGGGCCTGGGCCAATTTCAGAGGGAACAAGAAACGCTAACTTTTCAAAATTCTAGCTGCTAATTAAACTAATGCCTGAGATCATTCACAAGTAGTGAAATTAACAGGTAACTCAGCAACTCTTGTTATTGGCTGCAAAAAAAATGGTCTCAAAGTTGATGCACTTTTCAAATGAGATTTGAATATGGTAGAGAAAGCTATATCCTGTGGATTGTGTGATGCCTTCTGTCTGATTGTGCCCTCTGTCGGTAGTCACCATGGTCTCTGCTCTTTTTGATGTCTGATTCCTCAACAGAATCCATCCGACTGGTCGGTGGTTCCGGCCCGTACGAGGGCCGGGTCGAGGTCTTTCTCAACGGCCGTTGGGGCACGGTGTGTGACGACAGCTGGGACATCGTTGATGCAGATGTGGCATGCCGCCAGCTGGGCTTCTCTGGGGCCGAGCGGGCAGCCAGTAGGGCTGAGTTCGGTGCCGGCACGGGGGACATCTGGCTGGATGACTTGGCGTGCAGTGGAGACGAATCCGTGCTGGCTGCCTGTCCCCACGCCTACGTTCACAACTGCGTCCATAACGAGGATGCTGGTGTCGTCTGCTCTACTGGAGGTAATTAGTGCATACATTTTGACTGAAACCAGGTCGTTGATCTGCTTTTAGATATATCCACACAGTAATGGGCCATATGACCTATCAAGGACAACAAATAAAGGACACATCACGTGCGAACATTGAAGAGCTACGATTTGCCTTGAGCAGAGGCACCCCCTCATCGGTTGAAAGGAAGCATGTTGGAAGCATGTTGTTTGGAGGACGTATGGAGACTACGTACGGGACGAGAACCCGGCTTACCAGTCTATAATGTTCATGCGTGTGGTGCACCATGGGCGCAGATTTTTCTACTGAATGTCTACCATTTTATTTTGCCTTTTAGCAGATAATACCTGCGAGATCTGAGACAAATGACCTAACCTTGGTCTTTTCTTCCATTTTTTTTTTCAGTGCAACTCCGTTTGGTGGGCGGTTCAACCTTCAGTCAGGGGAGGGTGGAGATCTGGCACGACGGTGAATGGGGGACAATCTGTGACGACGACTGGGACATCAACGATGCTCGGGTAAGCCTAGAAAAAGTACCTCAGATTCGTGAAAATGATATGGAGGATAGTGACTAGTGTGTATAGCAATGCTTATCTTACTTTGGCCCTTAAACTTACCTAATCCGAGTGACTTGGACCCTAAAATTGCCGTTTTTTAAACATTTGGACATGATCAGCGATAGCATAGTAGGGTCTAAGTTAGCTCTGCTAAGTGGAGCGTTAGTATTCCTCTTTTTCAAATTGGGACGGGATCGTCATACTAGCGCTCTACAACATTACATATATAGTAAAATGACAACGGTTCTCGAAATTCCAAAGACTCACCAAAAATACTTTTTTTCACCACCTACTGGCTTTCTTAAATGCCAAAGGAAAACCTTTGGGGCTTTAGTGATATTTCTGAGTACAAAATCTGTCAAAATCGGACCATTTACACTTGACACATGTACGACACCTCCACCGTACCACCTCCTCCCATTCAAATACACGTTTAGATTTTTCTGGCCCAAGAACTCTGTGATCGAACATGGTCCTTTCAGATGCACGCATGACTGGCTTATAGGGCCTACGGGGTCTGGGCACACGACTTGTTGATCGCGACGTTGGGAGGGCTACCAACGACTGTTTCCTGGTCAATACGTCTTGTGCCATGCCCCGAGTACATATGGACCTCTTCCGTGGTTTCGTTAGAGGACGTTAGTATGAGGATCCCGTCTATCCCGACTCAGCGAGGTCCAAGTACCTTCCATAGGCTTTTGCTTCCAATAATTCATTCCACTCAAAATAGCTCGTACCATGAATCAAAATATTCTGAATTCACCTCTAAAATGATCCAATAATTTTATTTTCAGCTCTTTTTTTTTCAATTTCTTTGTGGTCTCTCAGGTGGTATGCCATCAGCTGGGGTTCTACGAGGCCCAGGCCGCCTCTGGCCAAGCTGGCTACGGTCAGGGCAGCGGGCCCATCATCCTGGACGACGTGCAGTGCCGAGGAGATGAGACGGACATCACGCTGTGTCCACACAACGGTTTCGGGGTCAACAACTGCGGGCACTCGGAAGACGCCGGGGTATCCTGCGTCGTTGCCAGTAGGTTCATTATTTGCACCATCAGTACTGACTATTCAGAGACATTTATACGTCACACAAGCTATTTTTCTCTCATAATAAATGAGCATTTGCTCTGTCAAGTTCCAGGTTACAGTTTTCAGTTTTCACTAACCCAGCAAACATAGGCAGTCAGTTTTTTTAATACACTTCATAAGCACCAATGCACATACTGCTGCTCTTCTATGAGCCCCGAGCTGGACCAAGAGAGGTCGCAATTTTTCTAGATAAGGAGGCTCCTTTGGTTGACTATGAAATGCATGCGTTACAGTCATGTCACTACCAGCAAAAGGAATACTCCCACCATATCTGGCTCTGTTCAATCGATTAGCCTCAAGGTATTATGCATAAAACTGGGAAAATCAACGGAATATGGATCAGAATTTTTTTCAAGTATAAGAATTGGTTCAGTTACAGGAATCACATTATGGGCTTGCCTTTGTTGTATACAGTTCGGCTCCAAGGTGGCAGCAATTCGAGGGAGGGTCGTGTGGAAGTGTTCCACCGTGGGGAGTGGGGCACGGTGTGCGACGACTACTGGGACCTGGACGATGCCCGGGTCGTCTGTCGGCAGCTGGGTTTCCCCAACGTCCAGTCGGCCTGGGGCTCGGCCCACTTCGGGATGGGCACCGGCCGGATCCTCCTGGACGACGTGCAGTGCCTCGGGACGGAGGACTCCTTGGACGAGTGCCCGCACTCCGGGCTGGGAACCCACAACTGCGGTCACCATGAGGACGCCGGCGTGACTTGCAGCCCGAACGGTGAGTGAATGGCGTTGATGAAGGAGACACCAAGCGAGATCTTTGTGTGCCGCACAGCACAACAGCCAAATTAGGGACCTTTTCCTAATCATGAACATTATGTTCATGGCCACAAGGATTAACAGCAATGGTGAAATGCCGGTTTACGTCCAGTATTGCCCATCTGTGATAAAATCTTACCAATGCTGGATGCACGGCTGTGTGGAATTTAAGAGAAGTGACCATTCTCGAATGTGTCATCACTCTTCACTCATAGAAATCAGTATTTATTGATTTTGTACAAAAAATGGTGCTCGAGAATCTTGAATATTTAAAAAAATTTTAACTTTTAATACTGACATGAAAGAATTATCGCCGTAGTTTCGACCAAGAGATCCTGACACCAAGGCAAAACAGAGTATGGCCATGTCCAATTGATTTGGCTGCGGCTTGAAATTACGCACAAGTGTATTGAGGGATCCCAATACGACGCTTTTAGCATCAATCTGCGCACTTCCACGTTTGAAAACGAGGCTGTATGTGTCAGCTTCAATTCCTAATACGATCAGATGATTGAAAGTAAGGAGTCAAGACACAAAATACATTAAGGTAAGTTAAATTCAGACTTTTCAGGATGAAAATTTTCGTGGAAGAGTCTTTCAGGATAACTCGACGCGTAAAATCCAAAGAAAAATAACGACAATTGACTGCGAACTAACGTATCTGCGATGGTCGTGTATTTTGTGCAGTGGGCGTGGTTTAAACTGAAGTGGCGTCACACGAACCGGATACTCCATGTACTGTGTGGACTCCGCGGGCGCGCGCAACGAAGTTCAACACAGAGGGCCTCGGCTTCGATTCAGATATGCGCAGACGGCGCTAATGTGAAACCCCTCTAGTGTAGTGGCGACAGCCCGTTTCCATAGAGTCA